ATGGTGGAATCTGCCATGAAATTTGTCATTCAACTGCTGGGATTCAATGGTATGAGATACTACGTGAATGCAATTAACAGAGATGCAGACATCAATGGGCTACTGTTACTACACGAGTCCGCCGACGAACCCTTCACTCTCATCAGCTTTCCATGGATTAAGCTCACCAGGAATGACTTTGACTACCCGTTTAATAAACGGGATCCGTCCGGTCCTCTATTCGACTTTGTAATGGAGATGGCTATAGCCCAGTCCAAAAGTTATGGTCTATTGGTGAACAGTTTCTACGAGCTCAAGCCACTGCATGCAGAGTACTGGAACTGTGATTCTAAACCAAAAGTATTCTGTATCGGACCCTTGTGTATGGCCCGACAACAAAAAATGGAGCCCGTATTACACAAGGAATGTAGATAGATTAAATGGTTGGATCAAAAACTGGCACAGGAAAAACCAGTTCTGTACGTTGCATTCGGGTCCCAAGCAGAAATATCATCAACACAGTTGACAGAAATCGCTCGTGGCCTGGAAGAATCGAAAGTGAGCTTCTTGTGGGTAGTGAGAAAGAATGGAATAGAATTAGATGACGAATTTGAAGATAGGATAAAGGAAAGAGGAATCGTAGTAAATGAATGGGTTGGTCAGAAACGGATTCTTGAACACGAAATCGTGCAGGGATTTCTGAGTCACTGTGGCTGGAACTCTGTGTTGGAGAGCATAAGTGCAGAAGTTCCGATACTGGCATGGCCAATGATGGCGAAGCAACCCCTGAATGCAAAAATGGTAGTGGAAGAGATTAAAATCGGGTTACAGGTCGAAATATCTAATGGGTTGGACAACAAATTTGTGCCCGTGGAGAGCTTGAAGAATAAAGTGAAAGAACTTATGGAAGGGGAAAAGGGAGACAAGGTGAGGAAAAAGGTGAAGCAAGTGGCCGAGGCAGCAAGGAACTCCATGTTGGAGGGCGGCTCGTCTTGGCATACACTAAACCAACTCATTAAAGAGATTTATTTGCAAAATCAGCCAAAAAAGTAAATAAAAGTTACTTTTGAATAAAAATTTGTTCTCGTAACTTAATTTTGTTCCAAGTTTTGAGTGAAAGTATTCACCTTGCTGTAAAAATATACCAGCAGAGAGAAATAGGGTGAAAAATGTAGTAGCGTGTTTTGGCCTAATTATAGGGTGCTTTAAGAAGTAATGCTTTTTGTTAAACTTTTTGGCTACTTCCATACATTTAATTCATTTTGTCTACAAATAATAGGTTCAATCTTGCTACATGTAAGAGGAATTTCACCAAAAAGTTTGACAGATTGTCAGTTTGTCACAATTTCAATATTGAATGTCGGACAAAAAAACCTTTAAACCAGTCAATTCAATGTTGTCATCTCATCACCTATAAAAATTCTTGGCAAAAATTCATGTAAGCTTAATTCTAATAGGTTTCCTTTTATTTTGACTATTGGCCACAAATTTTGAGGCCCAACTGTCAATATGCTGAACCAATCAAATTGGTACACCAATGTTGAAGAAGAGACTAGATTAACAGCATGAAGAGGGCTCTCTGAATTGTCATCGACTGAAGTTTGACCAAAATGCTTGTGTTATATATATTTAGGAGCACTGGCGAGCCTTACCCCCAATAAATTTTTTATTGGGATTTTTACATTCTAGTATGACTTAAAAAAAAGTTTAGTTCAATTCTTGATCTGTCCCTATTTAGGAGGAGGCTTGATCTGTCCTCACGAAAAGAAATCAACTTAAGCCAGGCGGCTACACGTAGCTAAAAAGAGCATGCCGAAGCTGAAAGATATCTTAAAAAATAATTTTTGTGAACTGTTCTCGGTTAGGAATTTTTGTGAAAAATCATCTCAGCAGTTGAACTCCACATTTTATCTGTAAGGATTTTTGATGAAATAATTTGTCGAAAAAACAAAAAAAAAACACAATCACAAAATGTAATCAAAATAAACGAATGCAAGAACACCAAACTGTTGACCCAGTTCAGCCAATAAGCCTAGTCTGGGAGACTCAGGGACTGTGGCCCATTCCACTAGTGCAAAATAGCATTCGAAGAGAGAGTAGTGTACATCAAACCACTTAAAACCTCTGGTTTGATCATCGATCCGTATGGATCTACAAAACCAAGACACAAATCATTCACAACAATCAACTTTAACTAGTCCTAACCAAACCTTAGAACAATACAAACTTCACACGGACTAGAGTTACTGTAGCAGGACAAAAATGACGAGATTAATCAGAAATGTGAGCACGTGCATTTTTTTAAGTTCATTTGGTTGTCCATGATTAATTCTTTAATTTAAAAAAAACTGTTGTTTTTCTTAATTTTCAAAAATTTGATGCTATTTTTGTCAAATAGTTTGTCGCTCGAGTGATAGAAGCAGAAGCTCCTTTGGTCACTTCTTGCTCGACCCTTACTCGAGCAACGGGACATAATTTTGAATTTTAACATTATTTTTCTGGGGTTTTATGCCTTTTTCCACTTTCTTCTCTCAATTTCTTCTAAGTTTCTCCATCCTACATCAAATTTGTGCTTTCCCCATACTTCAAACACTTGAAATCATTACATTTTGGTGCTATTTCATTGATTCCACTATTTTCAAGA